CATAGATTCCCTTCTGACCTGCTCTGTCCTGTGGAGTAGCCATTAGCCCCACATCTTGTCGAGTACTTGAACTGAGGCCTATCCGAATTGAGATATTTTAAAGTGTAAAATACACACTGGATTTCAAAGTGTAGTATGGGGGAAAGAAAGTAAGATATTTCCTTAATATTTTGTAAATTGATTACATGTTAAAAATGATGCTTTAGACATATGAGATGAAGTAAAATATATTCCTATAATTTCACCTGTTTCTTTTTACTTTTTAATATGGCTCCTAGAAAATTTGAAATTGCAGATGTAGTTCGCATTCTAATTCTTTTGGAGAATGCCGCTTTAGATCATGCCGTCAAAGGCCCTGGGTTCTTGCCCGCATCATCTCTCTGGCTGAGCACTGCAGTGCTGTGGTGCTCCACAGCTCTCCAGCCAGAGTGCTTAGGGACGATTCAAGGAGCCAGGTGGAGGGCATTGAGTCCAAGCAAAATGTCTGCCTTGGGGTCCACATTAGTCTTAAGATGGCCAATTAAAAAGATTTAAGCATAGAAGAATCCCATTCTATTATTCTCCCCAGGGCTGGCTACAGACGGAGGGGGAGCATCTGGAGAGATACGTCCAGTCAAGGATATGTGTGACTTTTTTGACATAACGGAGAAACACTCAGTTATGCAGTGCTGATAGGCAGTTTTCACCTGACGCTCTCCTTTAAACTCCCACTGTAGATCCTGACTCTGCGGTGGCAGGCAACTTCGTCGACAGCCCCGTTAAGGAAATTACTGCACTGTGGGTTCTCTGCCCGCTTCTGTATTTCTCTGTTGTCTTACAATTTTGAGGGGTGGTTTTATGCAGGCTTGAGTTACTCATTCCTAGAAAGTGATTGACCCTTAGAAAAACGGAGTATGGCTTTTTCCTTTCCATGACAGTGTAACTGGTGTCCCCTGAGATGCGACACCGTTGACTCCTTCATCCCTGCCTGCCAGCGTCACTGATTCTTCTCCTACCTGTGCAGCTGTCTCTTTCCTGGCTCCTCGTCCAGTCTTTAATAGCTGTTTTCCAGAGTAACATCCTGGGCCCTCTCTGCACTGTCCTGTTCCCCCAGAATATCTCACCCACTGCTTCAGCATCCTCCCATCTGCATCTGGCTTCCAAATACCATCTCCAGCTCTGACCTCTGAGCTCTCGACCCCGTCTGTTGTCAGGACTGGACCCCCATGGGCGTTTCAGCATCTGGTGGTCTTCTCTGGCTCCTCACTTATAGCCCAGGGTTTTCCTTGTTTCCACTCCTGTGGGTAGTGTTCTTGTTCTCCAAGCTCCCATGTCAGACACTTGGGTACCATCTGGATGCTTCCTTCTCCAACCAGACACCAAGCCCTTTCCATCTGAAATGTTTCCCTAGTCTGCCTTCCTCTGCTCTCCCCGTGTTCGGTGACACGGCCTCTCCCCAGCCTTCCTGCCTCTCTGTCTCAGCCCAGTGACCTTCCCCACATGCATGCTGACCGACCGGCTCCTGTCCCTAAAATCCTGTAGAGGAGCCTGTGAAACCCCATGAAGCGGGCTGTGCACCTGGCCTTGTGCCTTCAGGTCCTTGACCGCGGTGGTGTTCTCCCCCACTGACCAGCTGGCCGCCCGCTGCTGGAGGACTACAGGGCTTTGTGGACTCCGGTGAGCCCTTCCCGAAGAGGAGAAGCCTGTCTGTGGTGCTGAGTAAATTCTGGGCGTATCTTCCAATGCTTGGTCAGTGTGGCTGTCCCCCCAGGGGTGAGCACGCACCTGCTTTGTGAAAGATTGATTGTCAGGAAAATACATTTTCCCCCTTGCGCAGAGAAGGGTGTGGAGTAACAGTCCTCAGCAAGCCAAAAGCCTCGAGGATTATGAAATGCGGATGTTTCCTGTGTAATTTTCATGGTCGTTGCTCCCAGGGAGTCACCCAGACCGTCCCCAGCTCATAACTGGCTGGAAGGGTCAACCATGGGTGGGAGCTCTTCTCTCCCCTGCCCTGGTCAGAATGATTCAAAGCCAAAGATGATGGAGAAGGGTGGGAACCATCTTGAAAGTTGAAGCTTGGCCTGGGGTGCTGTTCATTTATTCACTGGAGGTCGGCCACATCCACGGAGGGAATGGGGTGAACCTTCTCTGGGCACCTGTGCTTCTTTCCCCGCCCAGTGCATTGCCTAACTGTGTGTGGTGTCTGCTTGCGTTGGGGCTTTCTGGTACCTGATTTCAGGTATTAACACCCCCCTCACCAAAAAAAAAAAAAAAAAAAAAAAAAAAAAAAAA